AGAACGATTTCTGGATTAGTGGGAGTTGGAGGAGAACCTCCAATGATGGCGACTTGACTATCGCCTGTTGACCATTGTAGCAGTACTTAAAGTTTGGGATATATTCCACAGACGACGCCAAACTGTTGCGAAGAGCTCTTGAAGCTTCAGAGCTCTCTTCAATCTCAAGCCAAAGGTCCCCCTCATGTAGAGAGTGGAGGTGTATTTATAGATTTTCATGAGTGGCACACCCCGTAAATCTAGAGAAGATCCGGGCAGGTTCAGAGTGCTCCATCGGATGGCTCGTATTGATTCCCCCGATCATATAGTGTTTTTCAACTGTTTAAGTGCCTTAACAGTTTCGGAATTCAGAGATCTTGGGCTCGTTGGATTCGTCTCGCCGAGACGCTCGATTTGACTATAAGCATGCCATATTTGGATATCATTTTACTGTCCAAATAATTCTTTAACCCTTCCAAACGTGGTTCGGGTCCCCGATTCGGACCCATTCTGCTTGTGTTGGACCCATTTTGGTGCTGTTTGGTTCATTTCTTTGAGATGTTCAATTTGAATATAAGTTTGCTAAAATTGGAATTCATATGATCCCAAATTTGATTTTGAAAGTCTCCAATCTTGAAAATGCCTCGAGATTCGTGCTTGATCTAATCTGTTTTTGATGACGTATCAGTTGCCCCCTATTTTTAAAGATAAACCTTATAATCCAAAAATATATTAGTGATTCTAGCATTCTGCAAGATCAGAACATTAATCAGAGCAAAAAGTTGAAAAAGTTCACGCCAAAAATCTTTTTAAATAGCTCAAAACTTATATTAAAGACTCATTTGAGCCTCAAAAGTATTAAAATTGTGCTCGAAAGATAATTCTGTATACTGCAAAAATATTCAATTCCAACTTTTCGTGATAAACATTTAATTAACTACATACGTAATCAATTAATTAAAATCGGATCTGCATAATAAATGAAACTATTTATCTGTCATTATTACCTTAGATATAACAGTTAATTATATATTTATTAACCATTATATGGAGAGGGCATTAACTATTATCTTATATATAATAGTTATATATTAAATAATAACCATAGAATGCCGCAACAGTAGCCGCCTCGAACGGCGAGAAAAAAAAAGTTATCATAAATTGCCTTAATTAATTAAGATGTTTAATTGTAAAAAATACTATTTTTAGCTCCAAAAATTTTTAAAAAAATTCAAAAAATCTCATAAAGAATCTAGCATTTTTTCTAAAAGGAAACAAATAATTTCTGCACAATTATTTTATTTTTAAAAGAATTACTCTTTATTTATTTCATATTTGATTTTTTCAATAATAGGAAATTATTTAATTTTGGGCATTAAAAAAATTCCGAAAATTAATAAAAAAATTCAAAAATTCGGCCCTCAAACCTCCTTTGAAAAAACTATAAATACCCCCCTCAGGGGCAAGGGAGAAGGCATCTCTTTAGCTGGTTTAAAATTTCTCCTACGAAATTAGGAGGAGTTGGACTGGCTAATAAAAAATTTTTGGGCGGCGGCGATCAAGGCCCGGTACTCTTACGTAGGCTCCAGTTCACTCCCATTGGGGGAAAAACTGTCTGGCAAGAGTCTAAATACCGGAGGCGACGATCAAGGCCCGGTACTCTTACGCAGGCTCCAGTTCACTCTCATTGGGGGAAAACTGACCGGCAAGAGTCTAAATACTGGAGGCAACGATCAAGGCCCGGTACTCTTACGCAGGCTCCAGTTCACTCTCATTGGGGGAAAAACTTTCTGGCAAGAGTCTAAATACCGGAGGTGGCAATCAAGGCCCGGTACTCTTACGCAGGCTCCAGTTCACTCCCATTGGGGGAAAAACTGTCCGACAAGAGTCTAAATACTGGAGGCGACGATCAAGGCCCGATACTCTTACGCAGGCTCTAGTTCACTCCCATTGGGGGAAAAACTGTCCGGCAAGAGTCTAAATACCGGAGGAGGCGATCAAGGCCCGGTACTCTTACGCAGGCTCCAGTTCACTCCCATTGGGGAAAAAACTGTCCGGTAAGAGTCTAAATACCGGAGGTGGCAATCAAGGCCCGGAACTCTTACGCAGGCTCCAGTTCACTCTCATTGGGGGAAAAACTGTCCGGCAAGAGTTTAAATACCGGAGGAGGCGATCAAGGCCCGGTTGGTGCAATTTTCTTTTCAACTTCTAGTGAGAAGAAATGTACATATGAATATGTATCTATGTAACTCCATTGATACTGAGTAAGAAGTTGAGAACTTGTCCTTCAGAGCAAGCTGATTTGCGATTGCATCTTTAAGACATGCTTTGACATTTTGCCCCCCATATTTTTATGAGGAAATTTTAGACTATTGAACTCTTTATATAAGCGATAAATTTATCAATCACTTGCATTCTTGGAGTCTTTACAGAGAGAATATTGTTCACTCAAAATATTGTTCGATGATGTTGACCTTTGTAAAAGGGCTCGAGAGAATCCACTAAAGATGTGAGACCAATCCGAGGTTGTATGTCAGAACCTTTGCTCGACGACATTAACCTGTGTGGAAGAGGTCGAGAGAATCCACCAAGGATATAAGACCTATCCGAAATTGTGTGTCAGAGCCCTGCTCGATGACGTTAACCTGTATGGAAGAGGTCGTGAGAATCCACCAAGGATGTAAGACCTATCCGAGGTTGTATGTCAGAGCCCTGCTCGATGATGTTAACCTGTGTGGAAGAGGTCAGAAGAATCCACCAAAGATGTAAGACCTATCCGAGGTTGTATGTCAGAGCCCTGCTCGATGACGTTAACATGTGTAGATGAGGTAGGATCAAATCCCCCTGGGATTGATCATCCGGTGATTGAGATACAATATAGATTGTGTATTTCTCGAATCACAAAGAAAGAGTTTGAAAAAAAATTTTAACTTTTATAAGAGAAAACAATATCACAACCACGTGAACATCGCATTACTGTATTATATAAAACAGTATAATAATTCCCTAGTATAACTTGGGGAAATACAAGTTACAACGTACTCAACACATAAGATCTACGTACGGGCACAATACAACATTTAACTTGGAAGAAAATATCAAAGTGATACCCTGCTCAACATAAAAGAGACAAAACAAGATAAGTAGTATTGCTAATACAAATGCACGAAGTGCGTGATCATTCAATTTCTCCAACCACTTGAATATTATTCAATGGTTGTCTCTATTGTTGATTTTGTCCCCCAGCGGGACGAGCTTCCTCTCGGGCAGATGAATCTTGAATAAATTGTCGAAGGTAGCCCTGGCGGATAAGTCTTTCAATCTCATCCTTGAGTTGCTTACAGGCTTCGGTAGTGTGACCACGACTACGATGAAAGTGACAGTACTGATCTGAATTTCCTGTGTTCGACTTCAAAGGATTCGGCCATTTTAATGTATCTTGATCTCGAACGGCCATCAACACATTTTCTCGAGATGTGTTGAGTGGGGTATACTCCTGTTGGGGTTCCCATCGCAGTAATGGAGGCCTAGGAGGTATATCATTCTTTCTTTGCTTTTTCTGTTGTGAGAATGAATTGTCCATCCCAGGTGCACCTTTGCGCTTCCCGTTGATTTGCTCAAACTATTTCCTGTGAGCATTTATAGCTTCATCTGCAGAAATTTACGCCTCCACACGATGGATCAGGTCAGCATATAAATGAACGGTGTCACGCATGAGTGCTGAATAGAATGAGCAAGGACGAAGACCTCCAAGAAAAACCCCTCGGAGTAATTCAGGGTCTACTCCTGAAACCTGTCGAGCCTCGGTGGAAAACCGCTGAAAATACTCCTTCAACGATTCTCCCTCATTTTGGCGAATCCCGGAGAGGTGGGAAGAATCCTTAACAATTCTTCGATTAGGCACAAACTGTTCAATGAATAATTTGGCTAATTTGACGAATGAAGGGATTGTTTTGGACGGAAGCGAATAGAACCACATTCGAGCCTGTCCTTTAAGGGTGGTAGGAAAAACCTGGCAAAGGAGTGCATCCGATGCTCGTTGAATATGCATGATGGTTCTGTAGTAGTCGATATGCTCATATGGGTCGGTCGTCCCGTCGTAGGACTCAACGTTTGGCACTTTGAATCCAACCGGAATGGGGTGCTGAAGAACGACTTCAGCTAGAGGTGATGACTCATGAAAGTTCCTCTGTCGGAGAGCTCGCCTCATATCTCCTCGGGGGAACTCTTCCCGTACCAATCTTCGCAGTTCGTGACGTAGAGCATTGTGAGGGAGCTCAGCAAGGTGCGGTTGGGCAGAGCCTTCTGAGAGATCCGGAAGAATGTGAGGTTGTCGAGTTGAGGGAAGAGGATGTGTAGAACTTGCTGTATCGGCAAGTTCGTTATCCTGTCGTAACTGAGGATGTCTTCCATGTGGAGGAAGATGAATTTCTGCTCGAAGATGTTCGAATTGAACATCTTCAACCCGTGTTAAATCCTGAGGGAGAAGAATTTCCTCTCGTTGTGCCAATGTTGGCTGTCGATTCTCTCGCAGGAGTTGAATGATCTCATTTTGAGATTCTTCCATCTTGCGGATTCTTTCTTCTAAAGAAAGTCCCGAGGTCCCTTCTCCGACAGCATTCTGCCCCCCAGGATGAAAAGAGGCAGACATCGGGCGTCTGTGATTTGCAGACAGATTTTTTGATTGGTGGGAGTTGGAGCGAGAAGCTCCGATGATGCGACTGCTACGCCTGTTGACCATTGTAGCAGTACTTAAAGTTGTGGGATAGTGTTTCTCATAAACGGCGTCAAACTGTTGCGGTCTGAAAGATTCGTGGCGGTAGAGTGAGTAAACTTTTTTTCTTAGCGATGCACGAATATCCAACACACAAATAGAAAGAGAGAAATAGAACACCAAATCTTTTTTTACGTGGAAAGCCCGAAGAGGGAAAAGCCACGGGGCCTTGCCCAGGTGAAAATATTCCACTAAACTTGAGTGAATTACAAGGGTTGACCCGTCCCTCGATTTAGAGACGATCGAATTACAGTGATTTGGAGAGACAGTCAAAGGTCTGGAGATGGTCGTACGGATGTCCGGCAGGTGGCGGCCGGGCGATGGTCCGACGAAGGTCAGGCTGAAGTCTGGCAGGCGGCGACCGGCGGCAGCCGAGCGGTAGTCCGACGAAGGTCGGTCTGAAGTCCGGTTGCAGGCAGCGACTAGGCGGTGGTCTGGTGGAAGGCACGGCTGGGCGGCGGTCCGGCGACAAGGCGCGCGGGCCGGGCGTCCTGCAGCAGGCAGACGAGCACGGGCAGTTTTGTTCGACGGCAGAGTACGGCAGCGGCCGGGCGATGGTCTGGGAGGGCGGCAGCCAGCGGTAGTCCGACGAAGGTCGGTCTGAAGTCCGGTTGCAGGCAGCGGCCCAGGCGGTGGTCCTGGGGAAGGCACGGCTGTTTGTGTGCGACAGGCCGCGGGCGGCGGGTCGCGCAGGCAGCGGCAGCCGGGCAGTTGTTCGACGGTAGTAGGCGGCGGCCGGGCGATGGTCTGGTGGCAGGTACGGCGGCCGGTGCGGTAGTCCGCGATGGAGGCGGTCGGCCCGGGACGGAGGTCCGGCGGCAGGCGGCGGGCCAGGGCAGCTGGCCGAGGCGGGCACGGGCGTGGTCCGGCAGAGGCAGGCAGGCCGGTGGTCTGGCGGCAGAGGCGGCGGCCGGTGGTCTGGCGGACAAGCGGCGGCCGGGCGGTGGTCCGGCGGCAGGCGGCGGCCGGGCGGTGGTGCTAGAGCTCTTGAAGCTTCAGAGCTCTCTTCAATCTCAAGCCAAAGGTTCCCCTCATGTAGAGAGTGGAGGTCTATTTATAGATTTTCACGAGTGGCACACCCCGTAAATCTAGAGAAGATCCGGGGCAGGTTCAGAATGCTCCATCGAATGGCTCGTATTGATTCCCCCGATCATAGAGAGTTTTTCAACTGTTTAAGTGCCTTAACAGTGTCGGAATTCAGAGATCTTGGGCTCGTTGGATTCGTCTCGCCGAGACGCTCGATTTGACTATAAGCATGCCATATTTGGATATCATTTTACTGTCCAAATAATTCTTTAGCCCTTCCAAACGTGGTTCGGGTCCCCGATTCGGACCCATTCTGCTTGTGTTGGACCCATTTAGGTACTGTTTGGTTCATTTCTTTGAGATGTTCAATTTGAATATAAGTTTGCTGAAATTGGAATTCATATGATCCCAAATTTGACTTTGAATGTCTCCAATCTTGAAAATGCCTCGAGATTCATGCTTGATCCAATTTGTTTTTGATGACGTATCACATCTAATTTTTAAATATTTAAAACAAAACAATCCCTAAATCAACCAACATCTCAATAATACATATAACTCAATATGACTCCTAACCTGAAATGACCCTAAACTGCACAAAAGGCCCTAAATACAATCAAGGAAAAAAAAAAACTCACAATACAAGGATCTAATAAAGAAAACTCATGAAAAATAAAAAGAGTACACCAAAAAAAATTTTTAGCTACATATAATTTAAAGATCTAATGTCAATATTTAAAACTTTACATACTAGCATTAACTAATATCAAAATGATTGTTCTCGATAATAACTTCAAATATATTAAAAGAGTCAATAAATTAGCAAAGTTTTCTAAATAAAAACTATAACAAATCTAATATTAATACTTTTCTCATGTAGTATCACATCTATGAAAAATTGATTCTCTTATCCATTTATTTAATTTTTAATATCTTATCTCGAAAATACTAATTATAATAATGATGAGTTATCATAACTCAATGGATACATCATATCTCTAAATTATAGTAATATAATAAAATCTAGAAATCAATATGTATGCATTTTATTATAAATAAATCAATATAAATCATCTGACGAGTCATTTTATTCAAATAATAGCATGCAAGAGTTTTATTTTTCTTTGTACATAATGATATCCTATCACGTTTTATTAGTCTCATTTGTGATATAATACAATTGTCTAAGAGCTCTTGTCTAAATTATTGTGTCTTGTTGAATGTGAGTTCTTTGAACTCTTTGCAAGTTTGGGCGAGAACTACCAAGGGATTTTTTTCTTAAACCGATGTGAATAATGATCCTTCCATCCGATGACTTCTATCATTTGGTTTTGATTTTTTATTATTTATTGCTTAGTGTGTATGAGTGAATTTTGTCAAGATTCATATGTATTGATTTCCTTTTCATAATGTGAATCTTAGTTTTTATAGAATTTTATGTTTTTTCCTCTAATTTATTGTGAAATTTCATATTTTGAGAACCTTTAAATTGTCATTTGGAATGAAAGAAATGTATTTCATGATTTTGCATCAAAAGAAAGTGATCTTTGCTTAGATTAATTGTTGATAAAACTGTGAATTGTAGGTATTTTTGTGTGTTATTTTATGTGTCTTGTCTTGCATTTGTTTCTAAATCATACACACCATGATTTCCTACATCCTAGGTCCATAGGAAGCATAATAATTTTGCATAAATTTGCTTGAAAAATACCAAGTACTTAATTCATTAAGGTCAAATTTGTTCAACCAGTGTAGAACTGTATAAATTTGAAGCATTTTCACCTTACAATCTTTGAATAAAATATTTATCTTTACTTCTAGAGAAAAGCCTATTGTGATTTGATAGCTCCACTTTCGAACATAACTAAATGCATTTTCTGAATAAATAGTTTTCTATATCACATTTATAACTTCTATGTCATATCCACCATGAATCTTCTCATAACATATCAAACTAGAAAATATGTTGCAAATTCAGTTTCATGGACTATGTTTTGATGATTGGCAAACACTCTTGTATTTCTTCAACTGCCTGTTACTACTAACATTTTCAGGATTCAAAGATCGGACGGAAATCGGAATCAGCTCAAGACTGGGTAGATTAGGGTTGAGTCAGTCTGTAATTTTCTTTTTTTCTTTCTTGAGTCAATTGTAATTGTTTGAAGTGACTGATGTTAAGTAACCCTACACACACACTTGAGAGATTTAGAACTTGTGTTTTTACTCACATCGGCCCGGACGATATTTATATCGTCCTGGACGATCGAGTTCAAAACAGAAGATCTAATCAGGATTTCTTAGTTAAGGCAGCCGTAATTAACTGATCGGCCTGGACAATACCTGTATCGGCCAGGACGATATGCTCAATACAGAAAGAAATTGCCGCCATGATCAATTTAGGTATTCTGTATTTTTGGAAATCGGCCTGGACGATTATTGGATCGGCCTGGACGATATTGTATAATTATGCCTAAATTGATCCGACAATCATGGGAGTAATTAAGGATGATTGATACGATCACATCGTCCTGGACGATCGCAAGATTAGCCTGGACGATCCATTCAAAAACCCTTGGTTGCTCCTGGCCGATTTGGATCGGACAGCTCAAATTCAGGGCGATGCTCTGGACGATTTTTCTCTGATTTGAACTGATCAGTCAGGACGATCGTGAGATCGTCCGAGACAATCAAGCAAATTTTCAATCGTCCAGTTTGCATTCAGGGCGATGCTCTGGCCGATCTTATGAGATTTGTACTGATCGGCCAGGACGATTTTCATATCATCCTGGACGATAAAGTCGGCAACTTACAATTAATGAGCCTCTTTGAAGCTCTTCTATTTAAGAGCTCTTGTTCAACGTTTTTGAACATCCTTGGCTGCTGTCTTGACCTGAGAAAACCTAAAGGAGAGAGAGAGAGGGAGAGAGAGAGAGGATCTTGTGAGGGGATTCACAAGGGTTGCTCCAAGCATTGCTCCACTTTTTCTTCCCTAGAGTCTCTTGTCCTTAGAAGGGTTGGGAGAGATAAGTTTCAGCAAGTGATCGTGGTTCTCTGCCTACTTCAGAAGGAAGCAAAAGGAGTTGGGTTCTCTGCCTTGCCGGGTGTGGAAAAAAGAAGGTGTTTTTGTGAGGGCTTCTCCGCCTAGCTGTGGGGGATAAAGGGGAGTCACGTTGGTAGTGCAATACTCGGAGGGCGCCTCCGGGGAGTGGACGTAGGTCGAGTTGACCGAACCACTATAAACCCTTGTGTTCTTGTGTTTTACTGCTTCCGCGTTTATTTTCTTCCGCACTTGTTTTTGTGGAGATTTGGTTTGTGATAATCGTTCCTTTGCTTAAAGAAATTTTTAAAATATCAATTCATCCCCCCCCCCCCTCTTGGTTAGCCTCGGGCCAGTTCTATAGGGCTTAACATCCCTAACGAACTTTCAAAATATATTCCCATTTAAGTCCATACCAATATTATCTCTTCCTCCTTAAATATACATTATAAGTATTTAAAGTCCTACCACTATTATCCCTTTTAATCTAATGTAAGCAATATAAACACTAGCCAAATTTATGGTGTCCTCACTAATAATTAACTTAATATGAATCACCTTATCACTATTCATATTCACCTCCACAAGTTTACCTTTCAGCTTTTTATTCATTATTGTCCTACACCACTCCAATTGTGAACCTAAAATTAGGTTGGATAATAATGTGCTTTACTCCAAAATTTTGAAATTAAGCTAATGATTGGGATGAAGACTGAACAAAAAACACATTATTAGCTTAATCCTCAACAATTTAAAGTACCGAATCTTACTGTAAACCAAGTAAAAAACAGTCACATGGGTTAGATAATGGTGAAGCAAAATAATCAACCAAGCGAACAAAAATACATAGAAAAATCTTTAGGTATAAACAGCTTGAAAATTAAGGCTACATTCTTAATAAGCTAAAGAACTTGAAAAGAAATACAAAATTCATACAATTACTACCATTTACCAGCAAGCAAGCAATACAGACGAACTACACAAGGATTACAATCAAAATAGCATAAAAAATAAATCTTTACACAAAAGAACTCCAATTTTTTCGCAGAACAAGATCAAGTAGGGCTCTTCCTAATTGCCATTGCAAGAATCAAATTCACTACTAGAACATAAATTCCAGCATACTTGCTTACCTAATCCATCAAGCTCTTACAAATGACAGTGAGAGGGGGAGAGAGAGAGAGAGAGAGAGAGAGAGAGTGAGCAGGACCATCAGACCAAACAGGAACAATTTGAACTCACCAGTCAAAGACTTGGAAGCGGCGTCGGACCAGTGATAGGAACCAGAACCATGCGTGCTCAACCTCGCACAGCAAGACAAGCCATTCAAAGGCGGAGAGGACTGAGTGGGACTCGAAAGTTACGCCAGATCCACACCAGAAAAGAAAAAATTTGAACCAGTCACCTCCTTAAAAAGCGAGATTTTTAATTGTTTATATAGAAATAGAAAGGGGTAGGAATCATAGTATTGATTATTGAATTTAAATATAATATAGAAAAATAAATATGATGATTTTAATTTCATAATAGTAAAACAAATTAAAATATTTTTAAAGTTTTTTTTTCTTTTTTAACTTTTTGGGTTGAATGAGCACTCGAATTCGGATCATAAGAATTCTTAAAATTGATGTTGTATATAATATCCTGATAAATAGTTATATTCATATTATTTTGTAATAGAATATAATATCTTATGAATTTTTTTAGTTTTTTTAACAAGAAAAATAGTTATATTCATATTATTAAAGCTAATATTAAGTTAAATGTGAGAAAAATTGTTTCAACTAAAAATCAAATTTTATTTTATTTTAAAATAAAATAATTGAGTTTATCCAATTTAACATAATTTAATTTTGAGTTTATAAATTAAATGTTAATTAATTATATAAATATATATAAATAGTGTAGTCTATATTTTACTTATATTATATATTTTGTGTAAGTACATACTTTGAATTGACTTAACTTGTATTTGAGGGAGTTAAATAGAATTTGAAATTAATTTTGAATTTAGATTAAGACTTCGTTTGGGACGACTTTTTTATGCTTCTTAAAGCACATTTCTAATACTAAATTTTTTCTATTAAAAAGCTGCTTTAAGAAGCAATAAAACATTTGTCCCAAACGAAGCTTAAATCTTAATATTGACTCAAAGTCAAGTTGAGTTAGTTGTGAGCGAGTAAAATTTTGAAGAAGTCTTATAGTTTGAACCTTAACAATTTTATTAGTAGTCACATTCTAAAATAACAATTTAATATGTTAATAAATTTTATTGTGTGTTTTTCATCTAGTTGTATATTTTATCCTATAAAAAATACTTAATTTTATAATAGTTCCATAATTTTTTTATAAAATATCACAAATGTATAGTTTGATTTGCAAATATAATGATTTTATATCATGCTCTTGGATTTGAAATTGTTTGTGGGTGATAATTGACTCTACTAACAAGTCTAGCTAGGTAGAGTAAGAGAATGGGAGGAAGAATAAGTGTATATGGAAAGCACCAAAGAAAAGAAGTCAAATAATCTCTATACATCTCATGAGAGATGAATCTAAAAAAAAAAGGTCAAAAAATTTCTATGAATGATAGAAATTTGCATAATTTCTAAATTGTGCCTCTTAGCCTCTTATTTATAGGTTTTAGAGGGATTAAAGAAAAGTTACACCTAAAAAATTAGAAAAATAGTATAATATTTAACAAGTCGGACTTGTATTAGCATATGTACTCAGCCAAAATACACACACGGACTCAAGAATAGTGTATTTGTCCAATGTTCTCATTAAAACATTGATTTTTCCCTTACATTACTTTTGGCTATAAATAGAGGGCGTTGATGATGCCAAATTTTCTTATTATTTTGTGTAAGCATAGTTATTTTAGTTCACACAAGAAATGCCAAATTGAGTCCTATGAAATATTCTGACATTGATAATTGTGTGCTCTAAAAGGCTCCCCTTCATAAGTGTAAAGTCATGGAGCTTGAGGGATAAAAGTCTACCCAACTTGAAGGGAAAAAGATGATGGTGTTAGAGCCGAGCAAGGCAAAGGTGGCCTCTAACATAAAGTTTTAGAGGTGCCTTTAGTGGAGAGGTGGGCTACGTGAGTTTCTACATCGAAGGAAGGTAGGCAGGTTCTCATCATGGATGGTGCTATGTTTGGGTGGTGAGCCTTACTCGCAATGATGTTGGTTGAATTATTTTGGCTCATTATCAAGTGGAGATATCAAGTGATTGTGATCTCATGCTGGAGGTCGGGCAATAATAAGTTGTTAGTGAATGTAAGAAGAATTCATTTCCTATTTTTGATAAGCTTATGTCTTGGGGATTTTTGTCACTTATGTTAACGAGCCTATACTATTCACCAAAGTATGTGCAAATTTTTAGGTCATTATTCAAGTGAGTTGGAGGCAATGGCTCTCGCACTAGCTAGGTGCATGACTTATATAATAGGGTGTAGGATCTTCATAATCAGTTATTAAAGGACCCCTTAACTTTTTGGATAAGAAATGATATATACTTAACCCTTTACTTCATATAACAAAGGCAACTCCAATGGTGCAAATACATAATACTGTAGGCCAACATATGGAAAATTCTTTATAAGCTCAATATATAACGAGGATTGACATCTCTTTATAAGCCACGCATATAGTGGAACTGGAGTAATAGCCATTTACTCAGGAGATTCTTGGCAATTCTCTTTTTTTTATCTCCAGTTGCTCGCAAGCTTACTCCTTCATAGATCACTAGAAGGCTAGAGTCCACATGCTTAAGTTGCCTTTGCCAGGGAGATTTTTTGCCTAAGAGGAGGAACATGCCCATATCAAAGATTGAGCTAGAAGAGGAAAGGAGAGGAGTAAAGGCCATGGAGAAGGCACGTTCCTCTATTGTGGGTGATGATGTTACCACATTGTAGAGGGAGGTGCATAACTTGAAGGTCGAAGTTCTAGCACTGGTAAGCTCTTTGAATCTTTGTGATTAATTTAGCTCCTTGTTAGAAGTTAGTTCATCCTGCATCACTTAGTAAAAAAAAGTGTGTTGTCCTCTGATATTCTCTCATATTTTTGTACAAGTTTCCTTCTATGAGGAAAGTGATATGAACTCGCCTATATGTAATAAATATATGAAAACATTAGTGTAAAAATTTATAATCAGTTATATGTAATTTACACTTATGATTTGTTATTATAATATATGTTTGTTTGTACTATGGATGTCTTAGTGAATTCATAGGGTAAGAAATTACTTTACTGACTACTTATGGTGACTATTTATTATTTCTTGTTGTAGCTCTTTATTATTACATGTGGAAACTCTTTGTTATTGCATATTTTAAAGATGAGATAGAGGCTAGATCATGCTCTTTAATGATGGATTGGACTCTCTTTTTTTGTAAATCAGTGCATATTCTTCTTCTATAAATAATCCCCTTCACCATTTGTTAGGGGCACCTGCTCCATTTCCTCAGTAACGCTCTCTCTCTTAACATTTATTTTCTCTTCTTTTGCAGGCAAAAGCATTCCTTTCTAAGATAGATGCAATAAAGATGTGCCATAAAACAATTTTCAAGTGTCGATACTATCAAGCTTCACTAGCAAAACAACTACTAATTGATATTATATACTTCATATATTGCTATAAGGATTCTAATCTTGAGGTACAAGCTCCATCAAAATGAAAGCACCTCAGCATCATGCACAGAGAAAAATTATGCTTCCCATGGGATCACTTCAAGCTTAGTCCACCATTTGTTTTATAAATTGAGCTCATTGAGACTTTAAACTTCTATGGGCTCATGCTAGCTCAAATAAAGCTAAATTTTGTGTTGAGCATGGTGACTTTCCTTTCCCACTTGTTTAAAGACAAGATTTGTAAGAGCCTTAGTTTTCTTGTCAATTCGCATGAAGATGAGTGGCATAAGTAACAAGGTGAGAGACATGAAGTCCAAGTTCAGCATATCACCTATGTCACTAGTCACTCTTCATACATATGCTTTAATATTACAAATTAAAACACAACTAAATTAAAAAATATTATAATAATGTTGTCTTCAAATCTTTTGAAAGTATTTTTAAAATAATTAAAAATTCTTATTAATACTCCCACACATTAAGTAATCACTATAAATTAGTGTGCATTCTCTTTAATTTTTTTATTTAAAATTTTAAAAAGATAGTAAAAAACTCATCCAATAATATTTTGAATTCATTAAATGACATGCTTTTTCCTCTTGTTAAAATTTTAAAATATAGCAATACATTTCTCAATGAAAGTTTTTCATAGCTCACACCTTTTACTTTCTTTCACTTCACTATATAGTAGCTATATACTATCATATATAGACATATAAAAGTATGCACATGATTTTAAGCATGGTTAAATACATCTATGCATTCATCTTTAAACTAAGGTTTAAATTTTTGTATCAAAATTCTGTTTCAAGAAGCAATAAAAAATCGTCCCAAACAAAGCATAATAATTAAATGGTGCATTTGAGCACATTTTACATCTCAACATTACCTCGTACATTTTACATATTCATCTCTCTCTCTCTCTTTCCTTTTACAAATATCGACAATTCAACCATCTTTTAATTTGTTGGATCCAATTTTCATATCGACCCGATCGATCGTAGACGTGGGAGCTTATGATTATTTTTCCTTTTCAAGCAAATCATTCTCTTCTCAATGCATAGAGCTTACCACCAAGCAAAAAGATAGAGCAAGGGAAGATTCAATCACACATACACAAATATACATACATAACATCATGTGGTGTGGATGTAAAGCTTTTTTCTTTTTCTCTCAATAGATTATGGTACATGTGGCCCAATGCAATGCATTAGGCTTCCCACTAAAGCATTATCATTAGAAATTGGAATTGCTTTTGTTATGTAGTGGCCAATGAATGCTCCAACCCTCAATAAATGGCTTGTACTTGCCACAAGGAAAAATTACTCAACAGCTCTTGTTGCATAAGTTATATCAAGCTCATCAAACATAATAAAAATAGAAGACATTTGATATATATAATCCCCAAACTATTTGTGTATGGCCAGTTTAATATCTTGATTATAAAAAATTGATCCAATTTAGTACCAACAGGGTCATTTTGAATAAACGAGAGACTGAGGTTTCATTCGGGATGGCTTTCTTATTGCTTCTTAAAGCAGCTTTCAAGTGCAAAAATTAAATTTTTTGTACTAAAAATTTATTTTAAAAAGCTGTAAGAAAGCCGTCCCAAACAAATCTGAAAGCCATCCCAAACAAAACCTACTGGTTCATTTGGGACAATTTTCTTTCTTTTTTAAGGCAGGTTTCTAATAGAAAATTTTCAAGTTCAAAAAATTTTTGTATTAAAAATCTGCTTTAAAAGAAATAAGAAAACTATTCCAAATGAAACCATATATATATATATATTCATGCATTGTGATCATTCATCAGAATGGAGAATTGGAGAGAGAGAGCATGCATTTATAAAAAAGACACTAAAAGATGATAAAGATCAGCTTTTCTACTAATTATAAGCTTAAAAATCATAAATTCATATACAAGTACCCAAACACTTTACAGCTAACATGCAGAAAATCAGTTCTTGAAACACTATCCCTTAAAATTAAAAAAAATAAAATAAAATAAAAAAAGCTAACATATAATCATGCAAGGTTCTTATGCCTGAACAGATTTTTCACATTTATTTGGGAGATTTACACATATATATACCACTTAATTCTTATTTACAAATCTACCACTTCAATTTTTATATTTCCTTATATAATAGCCTAACCTTTTACTAAATATTAACTTATCTCCCAATGCACATGTTTTCATGTGACTCACATACTAATGCATTATACAAATAAATATAAAGAGTTAGATGTTAGATGTTAGATGTATAAATACATAAATATTTTAGGGTATATATGTAAATTTACCATGGAATCTCAAGCTTGAATGTAGAGTTCTTGGTCAGTTATTATGAAAACTCCAATAGAACTCCCTGGTTCCATGATGAACTGCTCTTGAAAAGTGCCCATCCTCTTATTAGCCAAATCAAGGGAGCTTTCTTGAATGTTTGGCATGCCCTCTGCCTGTACGCCTTTGCCACATATGAGAAACTGATTGCCAATGATGAAAGATCCCGAAGCACGGATTGCGATTGCATCGTCTCCATGGGCACGGCAATGGAGCTTTTCGACGACATGGACGAGTCTTTGGCGAGGCCGATCGCCGGCTAATTTTCTCCTTATATCAGTAAGAGCTGGAAATATATGATTTTGACCGCGAAACTGCTTTCCTGAGAATCTGCGAAGTTAAGGGAATTCATTAATGTGTTTTTATGTTGTTTCTGAAGACACTCGTGAGGAAATTTGAGAGTATGAAGGCTCATCAAGCTGAATTACGTCTAGAAGAAGCTGATATCCTTTAATTAAGGCTTTGTTTGGAACGGTTTTCTTACTGCTTCTTAAAGCAATTTTTTAGTATAAGCTGCTTTATAAAGCGGCCGTCCCAAACGAAGCCTAAAATTTCATTTGGGGTGACTTTCTTACTGCTTCTTAAAGTAACTTTATAATAAAAAATTTTAATTTTTGAAGCAGTAAGAAAGCCGTTCCAAACGAGTCTAACGATTCGTTTGGGACGGCTTTCTTATTGCTTCTTAAAGCAGCTTTCTAGCACAAAAATTAATTTTTTTTGTACTATAAAGTTGCTTTAAGAAGCAGTATGAAAGCCGTCCCAAAGGAAGTCTAAGATGGGCAAGAAAATGGAGAGTGGGTTGCTAAATACTAAGGCGTACAGACAATAACAGGACATGAGATATGATAGTACCCTATGACTAGATAATTTACAAGAAAAAATGAAATATGCATAACGCATGAAAGGGGTTTAGAAGAATCATAATGTCTTTATTAAGATGCACAAAAACAAGACGTATTTGTTCTGATGTGTAATCATGTGAAACAACACCATTTAACACAAAAGTGGAATGAGCTCAAACTAGATTGGTATAATTTTAGAAGTTAATTGCAAGCTATCTACGGGAGAATTATTGTTAATAACCACAAAAGAATTACAAACTGAGAAATAGTACCTGAAAACTGATGTCTCGTCATAGAATCTTTTGGCATAATGCCACTGTCCATCAGCCCCGTTAAACAGCAAGTAATAGTGTACAGCAAGCATCTAAATCATGAAAATAAAGTAGCAGTATAAGAAATCCAAGCTCATGACATTAAGGTTTCATTTGGGATGATTTTCTCACTTCTTCTTAAAATAGTTTTTTAGTGCAAATTTTGTACTAAAAAGCTTTTTTAAGAAACAATAAAAAAGCCGTCTGGGACGAAGCCTATGTTTAGCCAATACAGCAAATTATTCTTGCTGTTTCAAAATCAAAGAAAGAAGTTAAATATTCTGACGAATTAATGTTAAATCTAATCGAATGTGCAAATGATTGGACAACTTTATAGGACACTAATGTACCAGGCTTTGCAAATATTAAGCAGAAATCAGTGCTTCATTGCAAAACAAAATCTACAATCTAATCATGAATAATGACTTTTGAAGACAGTTACCAGGAGCTTACATCAGCCATGTCTTTCAATTTCTGAACTGGATCAAAAACTTCTCGAACATATGCAGCCAAATCCACGCTCTCTTTCTCATACTTTTTTATAAATGGATGAGTCAGAAGCTGTAAAATATTCAGAATCAACAAGGTCAGGTACAAAAGAACAGTAGTCAGAAATAACATTATGCATATTTCATCTTAGTGAGGTAAGATGCATGAAAATTTTTGATAAAATTAATGAAAAGACATTTCAGTGCATATTTTTTCAATGAAAGAACAAAAGCAATCAGTTTGATACAACCAAAAAACAACATTTAAAGCCAAATAAGTCATTCCATTGAGGGCATCACTTTCTGAGGGTGTCATTCCATATCACTCTCTCAGTCCCCTGCATTCTCCCTCCCCATCTAAACCTCCCTACTCCCTCCCTCATTCGATCCCCTACTTCCTTCCCCGCTACCCTAACTGCCTCTCTTACTCTCACTCCATCCGTCCCTCTCTAAGGTTTCATTTGAGATGATTTTTTTCTACTTCTTAAAGCAACTTTTTAGTAAAAAAAAATTAATTTTTTATTAAAAAATTACTTTAAGAAGCAGTAAGAAAACCGTACCAAACGAAGCCTAAATCTCACACACTGCTTTCCTCGCCACTAGCAGCTCCAACCAGCAACGAAGGATTTAGATGTAATTTTTGCTTAACCATAGAAGCAGACTTGGAAACAAATCCCTTAAACTAAAACTAATGAATCTTGTGATGCATATGGTTTAAATTGTTCCTTGATTGATCAGGTTATGAGCAACATTGATGTAGGCCCAGCACAATCCCATGATGATGGATTGCCCAACAGAACCTTGTTACCACTACCATGACTTGAAACTAGTAGGAAATACTTGAGTTCGCAAGTAACCCTAAGGTAATACTTGAGTTCGCAAGCAAATCTAACCCAATTCGATGAACAAACAGCAGCCAAATGGCTGTCCACAGCAGGAAAACAGCAGAAATATGCTGTTTACAGCAGAAAAAACAGCACTAGTCCGGGAAAATCTGAGAGAAAACTCAAGAAAAGGCTTGTATTCCACTAGACGATGAATAAAATAGCAAGATACAATTGATCCTCAATTTGAGAGGAGGATCGATCTCTCCCAAATCTCTGGCAACGCCAAAGAGCACCAAAGAAAACCTAAATCTAAAGATCTCAAATTTCAGCCAAATTCAACAGCTCAAACCCTAGGAAAAACAAAGTATTTAATGCATACAAATCAAAAGGAAATCCCTAAACAATCCTACATTCAATTTCCCTCCTAGAAATCCATTCAAAAACCTTCCTAAAATGAGCTCTCAGGCATCGCGTGCGTGCGGCTGACGGAAGAGGCGGAGATGTTCCGCCCGTTCCCCACCTGGGCCGGTCCCGCGTGGACCGGTCTAACAATACTCCCCTCCCAAAAATCCACCATGTCCTCAAGGTGGAGATATGCTCGTGTTCTGGTGGAGGTGTCCATCCCTGAGGTGACTGAAAATTCTTATTGTATTGCTGAACCAAGGGCTGTACGAAAAGAGAAACATCCCTCCTTCCAATCTGATCGCATCCAGCCTGTGTAGTCCCACCAGATAAATCTTCCCCCACCTCTTGTACGTCCTAACGCATGGTCTTAAGTGATGTGATGGCTTTGGATAGCCCTGCACTCTCCTTATGACCACCCTTCTCCCATCCACCATTAATTCCATCGTGAGTGCTCCCCAATTATCCTTGGTTTTCCCCAAGGTTTGCAACCACTTCATCCCCAGGATGACATCAGTACTTCCTAACTCTAGTGGAAGAAAGTCCTCTCTTACTTGAATCCCTTGGATGGTCAACACCACTCCTTTACAAATCCCCTGGCCTTTCTCCACCTTCCCTGTACCCATCATCACTCCATAGCAACCAGTGTCCACCAACTTCACTCCCAGTTGGTTGACGACCTGAGTGGAAATGAAATTGTGGGTAGCCCCACTATCAATTAGCACCACCACCTCAAGCTCAGCTATCTCTCCTTTCACTTTCATAGTGTGACTCGGAGTGAATCTCACTACAGAGTTCAGAGAGACTTCTGCCACATCCAGGTGCAACTTCTCCTCCTCTTTAGATTTGCTCCGAACTCCCTCCTCGTCTTACTTGTCTTCACAGACAGGAGAACCTGAAGAGTTCAATCCTTGCACTTATGCCCCGGCATGTACTTCTCATCACATCTTAAGCATAACCCCTTTGTCCTCTTCTCCTGCATCTCCATCTCTATCAGTCTCTTGAAATTTTCCCCACACCCTCCCTACGGGCTTCTCCCGGTGGTCTCATTAATGTTGCCTGATGCAAGCCCCTTGGGTGCTAGAAGAGTGGTCGTCATCCTGTAAGAGCCTCCTGAGCAGTTTCCTCGAGCCCCTCTTTCAGACTTCTTCTAGTCTTCTACCAATTGGGTCAACTCCATGGCCTTGCCTAGATTCCTTGGCTCCAACACTCTGAATGCTGTTCTTACCTCCGGTTTCATCCCCTTCATGAAATTCCCTTACAGGGCTGACTCCGAGATATGATCCAGCCTACTAGCCAGATACTCAAACCTGTACCGGTAATCTGCCACCGTGCCTTCCTGGGTAAGGGCAAAGAATTGCTCATAGAAGTCTCCTCCCTCATCTGCTCGGAAATGCTCTAATAAGCATTCTTTGAACTCCCGCCAGCTCCAGATAGGCTCCCGTTTGTCACGCCACTGATACCAGGCTAAGGCTTTTCCCTCCAAGCACATTCGCGCCGCTGTCAATTTCTCCTCCTTCGTCAGCCCATTGACAGCAAAATATCGCTCCACCTTATAAATCCATCCATGACCATCTTCACCCTCAAAGACGGGCATATTTAGTTTCCTTACCCGTGGGTCTCCTCCGTTTCCCCGGTATCCTCCATAACCTCCCATTCCTCGAAGGGGAAGAGTTCCCCAAGTGTCCTGATCATCCCTCCAACGATTATACTAGAATCCCTTCTCATACTCTCATCTTCTCCCTTCAAAATCATCACCTCGACGCTGAATTCCTTCAAATTCAGCACCTCGACGATGACGTTCCTCCCTTCTTCCTTCGAAAACAACCCCTCGGAAAGAATTCAGCACCTTGGCGATGAATTTCTTCACTTTCCCCTTCAAAATCAGCACCTCGACGTTGGATTCTTTCGAATTCAGCACCTCGGCGATTGAATTCTTCCCTCCTTCCGACAAAATCAGCCTCCCGTTGGTCGTATCCCCTACTCATCTCTTCTCTAGAAAGCGGTTCTAGAGGGGGCATGTCATTCTCCTCCTCCAGGATCTCCACCTCCGAATTCCTCCTCCCTCGTATCGGGTTTGGATTTCCTCCCATACCATGGCCGTTGGTGTTCTCTCGTACTTCCAATGTCGCCTGATTGGTCTTCATTTCAAGTAATTTCTTCATCATCTCTTCAATCACAGTAAACTTCCCCTCCAAACTTTCATTGTTGGAGGTGATTTGATTTTGAAAGTCGAAAAATTTTCCCTCCAAATCGAATTTCAATTGTCCGATTTCACCTTCCAAGACTTCCACCTTTCCAGCCATCGTTCTTCCCAAGAATCACAAAGATCTTTTTCCGGAAATGAAAAATCCGCTGAAATTTCAGGATTTCAGCCGCCAGCGGTCCCAAAAACGACGCTCTGATACCTATTTGATAGGAAATACTTGAGTTCTCAAGCAAACCTAACCCAATTCGATGAACAAACAACAGCCAAATGGCTGTCCACAGCAAGAAAACAGCAGAAATATGCTGTTTACAGCAGAAAAAACAACACTAGTCCAGGAAAATCTGAGAGAAAACTCAGGAAAATACTTGTATTCCACTAGACGATGAATAAAATAGCAAGATACAATTGATCTCAATTCGAGAGGAGGATCGATCTCTCCCAAATCTCTAGCAACGCCAAGAGCCCAAAGAAAACCTAAATCTAAGAGATCTCAAATTTCAGCCCAATTCAAGATGCCCAAACCCTAGGAAAACAAAGTATTTAATGCATACAAATCAAAAGGAAATCCCTAAACAATCCCTACATTCAATTTCCCTCCTAGAATCCATTTAAAAACCTTCCTAAAATGAGCTCTCAGGCATCGCGTGCGTGCGGCTGACGGAAGAGGTGGAGATGTTCCGCCCGTTCTCCGCCTGGGCCGGTCCCGCGTGGACCGGCTGAACCGGTCCATTGTCTAACAGAAATCTCTGTATAAATGAAGAGGAAACCTCGGGACCTTAATGGATGATATGGATGGAAAGGAGGGTTGAGGTAGGTGGTGGAAGCTAGACGTCGACTAGGGATGGGAGGAGAAAAGGGACGAGTAGTATTAGCTAAGGCAGACACTAGGGGAAAAGGGAAGAATTGCCAAGCCTAGGCTGGCCATTAGAAAGGAAGAGGGAGAGGGAAGAAGAGAATAAAAAAAGGATGAAATGCTTTGTTTATCCGTCAGAACTATCCATTGCACCTGAAAAACTCTTCTTTATACAAGGGAATCTCATTAAACTAATTACATGAAAATATGAACTTAATATAAACATCAAGCTAAACATAAAGATAAATATCATAAACTCCGACATTCTCATGGACTACAAAAACTTTTCCCCTTAAGAGTTGATCGTGGCCACTATGGAGTGGAAAATAGCTGGAGTGATGAGCAATAATTTCCAACATAGCCTTCATGTAATAAATCTAGAAGCTAAGAATCAAGAAAACCCCACGGACTCTAAAATAGATCAGTGGGCTTGGGATTGAGCTCGGGCTTAGGCTCAGGCAGGTAGGTTCAACAATCTCCAAAGTGACTTCTTTAGCAATAGATTAAGAGGCTTAGATTAGGATGACAGCAGAGACCCTATGACACAGCAGTTTCAAAGCGATTAAAGGAAACTAATAACCATGGAAGCTGCATAAACTTAAGCTCGATAAAAGCTCGATTCGTGTTCGATTTAGAACTCGTGAATAAGTTTGATAAAAACTATATTAATATTCAATTATAAAATTGATAAATATGCATAATATAAATATTTTATATTTATTATAACATAATGATATAATTATTGTTAATTAATAAATTTTAAACTAATTAAATATTATAATATATGCTAACTAAAAATAAATTTTACATATTTATTAAATTGATATTATATATTATTTAATTATAATTATTTTATTTTATTATTCCATAGAAATTAAAGCTCACACTTCTGAATACGAAAGGACAAAAGACAAGCAAAATGCAAAATCCTTCCCTTCGTATTTTTGCCCTAATCTCTCTCCCCAGATGCCGATTTTTCTTCCTTGGTTTTTCGCCCTGCTCAAGCTCTGACTCCCGAACGACCACTAAAGCACCAACTCTCAAATGGCCGAATTGAATTTCTTTCATCTTCGTTCTCCCAAACACACTCAAGTCCTAAACCTCTCTTTTCTTCCCTCGTCGTTCTCCCAACTCTGCTCAAGTTCGCATTTGCAAGGCCAGCATGGACGAAAACTCGGTAAGTTATAGCTGCTTCAAATATTACTTTCGTTAATTCTTTTATTTTCTTTCTCATATACCTTTGCTTCTTTCCGTTAGAAAGTTTCTCCTCTCCTATAGATCATCTCATAATTATTTTAACAACATGAGTAAAAGCGATCTAATAGAGTCTATACAATTATGATATGAGACATTAAAGTTTCGTTTCTAACATTTTTTTGCCACTGTTAGAAGTACATATCGGTCCTCCTTGTTGTGGTACTTTTCTTTACATTCAAAAATTGATTAACAGGCTAATTATTCTTGGAAGTGTAGCATTTATTTTAATGCAGTTCGAATAAGATTCTTGTTTAATATAATCGTTGACTCCTCTTTTAAAGGAATGTAGCAAAATTCACCATAGTAGCATCTAAATTCTACGCCTCCTCAGCTACATTTGACAGTGCATGATGTCCAAATTAGTGTTGGGTCATCTTCAAATCCAATATTTGTAACAGAACATGACCAACAAGAAAATCTTTTTTTCTAGGAAAGCAAGAAAAAAAACCTCATCAGTGTGGCAGAAATTTACACTCGTAAAACTTGGTGATGGTACTGAGAAGGTTCAAGTCATGAACTTGCTCATTTGATAGCTCAAGAATACTCGTTAGATATGTTCATGAACGTGTTTGTTTGATAGTTTAAAAAAATTCGCTAAATAGGTTCACAAGCATAGCTTGTTAAGGCTTGTTTATTTAAAACTTGATAAACACTAAATGAACTGAACATGAACTAAACATGAATACTCATTAATTTAAACGAACCAAACATGAACACAAACAATTAAGCTCGAATCAAACACAAACCTAACTTGAACAAGCTAATAATAAACAAACTCAAACATGAACACTCACATACTCGGCTTAGTTTGTTTGCAGCCCTAGATACAACAAGAAGGCAGACACATGATTGCAAATGCAGCAATGTAGCAAGTAATGGGGAAAACCCACATAATGAGATTTGCATGAGATATCATGAGATGAGTCCTCTGTGAAAAAGCGGGTCTGGTTTGCATGATTAGCAAGCAATTGCAGATTTTATGATGATATGAAGGAGATCAAAACAAAATGATTAAAAGATACATGTGAGAAAGATGAGTGATGAGGCTATGTGATGCAAGCAAATTCAACATGAAGCAAGCAAAATGAAGAAAGCAGCCAAGTGGAGCATATGAATGATGCAGACTATGAGATGCAATGAGGATGCTTTGTGATGGTAATGCTGCAAGAAGTGGGTAAGGATGTAAGGAGATGCCATTATGTGCGTGCACAAATTGTGACGAGTATTTAGAATTATGAAGTGTTTTCACACGGGTGACAATAATTTGGAGATGGCTGAGGATTGTGAGATTTGCGTGATTACCGAGACTAGCGATTATAATTACAGACAGTTTTTGCATGCAGATTTCCATGAGTTTTCACACAAAACCCTTCTCAATATTTTTGTAAGAGATTTTGAATATGGACATGAAGGTTAGCGATAGTGAGAATGGCGTGCATGAAATTTTAAAATTGCAAAACTATAAGCAAGGGCATGGGAATTGAGTAGTGGATGCGTGAGTGAGCCACCTCAATTGTTGCAGAGACTAAGAAACTAGGGAACAAAGGCAAACCCAAAAAACACTTTGCTTACAAGAACTCAGTAAGAGAATATATATATATATATATATATATAAACTTAAAGAATCTTGGATCCTTGCAGGATCTTTGCTTTGATACTAGCTGATACAGGTGGAGTTCAATATAAAAACAATATACTCCACTCCGGAGATGAGAGGAAACCATAGGAGATTAGTGGATGCTACACATGAAGAGGGAGATTGAGGTAGAAGAAACTTGGCAACTAGTGATGAAAGTGGAAGAGGGAAAGGAGTATTGGCATAGGCAGCCACAAGAAAGGAAAAATGACCAAGTCCTAGGTCAGCCAAAGAAATGAGATGGAGAGGAAAGGCAATAGAAAAAGGTAAAATGATTTGTTCAACCCAATCATGCTATCTATTACTCCCGAATTTTCCCTCGTATATATACGAGGAAGCTCATGAAACTAATTACATGGAAATATAAACTAAATGAAAACATCAAGTAAAACATAAAGCTAAATATAATCCAGTGGAGGCCTTTCTCCATAAAAGGGAGAAAGAATTACAAACATATAAAACGCTGAAAAAGAAAATAGAACAAAATGAATCAGCCTTCAAATAACACAAAACAAAATTATTTTATTCATACCTCATCTGCTCTTGGTCTAGCACTAGGATCTTTATGAAGGCAAGCATCAATGAAGGAGCAGAACTCTGGTGAAAATGAGTCCTTAGGAGGAGAAGGTGATGGGTCATACATAATCTGCAAGGAGAATAATTGAAGGTTTCCAGATTAATACCCTCGTACATATATTGAACATATGTAAACAGCAATTAATATCCAAGTGATTTTTCAAAATCTATTAAAGTTTAAATATGTAAAGGACAGGGTCATGCAATTATGAGACCACAAGCAGTAAGATACATTTAAAGAAAATATAATACAACAGAATGGCCAAGTACCTCTACAAGGCAAAGCAAGATTGTCTAAACATAAAATAGAACAATAAACTGTAGCATGCATAAAAATACCAGTAAAGATTACATATAAAGAAAAAACTTCTTCGAGATTTTTTTTTGCTTCTAGAAATCTTATATCAAAAGAAGAATACATGAACGGCAAAAGAAGCAAATTCACTATTATCATAACATATGGATAGTTTGAGGCTAAATACTTTCACATGTGGAGTGTAACTTGAAAATCAAAGCAGATCCTACATAAATATTCCTTAAAGGTTGTCATCATCATGCTCCTATTCATACCAAATTTTATGAGGAAAACAATTTATAAGTTTTTTAATCAATTGCTATCCACACCATCAGTTCAAAGGTAATTGATTTTCTTTGGAGCAATGCTCAATCCTTCTATAGTGAATATAATGTGGCAAACGCTTATAATCATGCTATGGAGTTTCATAATCAGGCAACCTCCAGAAGAAACATTATTGTCTCCAAAATTCTAGCAAGAAAGGGCACTTTTAATAATGTGGAAAATCAATATCTTACATGTAATATTAGATTGCCTTACTTGTAACATCAAATTGACAGCTCCTTCAGTTGCTGAATATGGAAATTTGCCAGTGGCACATTCAAACATGGCTAAACCAAAGCTCCAGATATCAGCAGAATATGAATAACTCTCATTTTGGATTCTCTCAGGCGACATGTATGTAACAGTTCCGACAAAAGTTTCACACTGAAATATGCAACTAGTAAGGTAAGAAACAGAAATTCATTCCATCTTCTGGTGAGAAGATTTTTACATGATGAACAAGCTGCATTTATGTAATGCACTGCTACACAGAAAAAAAGTTAAAATCTTCAATGGTAACTGAAATTCAGATAAATAAAATACAAACCATAGCTACTGAGTTGTTTAAAGCTGCACTTATGCCAAAATCAGAAATCTTTGTCTCGCCTTTGAGATTTATGAGCAAGTTTGCCGGCTTTATATCTCTGTGAACCAAACGTCTTTCTCCATGTAAATATCCCAGTGCCTTCATATGTTACGATTACTCAGTTCAAAAGAAAAAAAAAAAGCTTATATCAAAATATTAGATACCATGCCAGTAAGATATCCTTACAAGTAATAATTTATGAACCATGTGCGAAAGAACTGGTTCAGGTACAGACTTTTTTAACAACAGAACATCTGCAAGTGAACCTCCATCCACATATTCTAGTGCGATGCTTATCTGCCCAGACTCAGGGGTATAAAATGCCCCATGAAATTCAACAAGTCCTTGAAAGCAAGCTGCCTCACATAGTGCTTTTACCTCATTTAGAAGCTGTTGCCTTTTCTCCTTTGAAAACAGAAGGAAAAGAAAAATATCAGAAAAAAATATGTATTTCTACTTCTAAGAAATGAATTTTCAACAACGCTAGTTCCTTCTTAAGATATCCGTTGGGCATTTATAAAGATAGTTTTAGTAATATTCTTACCTATGTCACAAATATATGGGGGGAAATACAGTGGCAGTAGGGTTGGGGTGGCCTTGTGAGTCATTTATGTTATTGGCTTTATGACTCCATTGCCATCTGATACATGTTCTCAACATGCTTACTAAAATGTAAAATTGGGTGCCTTTCTTAGGTTAGCCAACTGTTCATAAAATTGAATTAATCTGTTTCAATTTTTCCTCAACCATTTTAAGGCTTCGACATTGATTTACATACAAGCTAATACATGAGAGTTGACATTGAATGATCTAGAATGCCTTATATAAATAGGATAACATAAAATAGGTACTGCAATACCCAACAAATGTAATAGATTCCCTTACTATTAAATAAACCAAGAGAAATTCGATCATAAGATCCAATCTAAATCTTGGTCCCGTCAATTTTCCTTCACGGTTTATATTTAACATCAAGAGGGAATGATGTAAGATGCTTAGGGTCTAGAATTTTCGAATGCAGCTAAAATAATGTTATGAATTAAATTTAAGCATAAAAAAAATTGAAGTTTACATAAAACCAATTAAAATAAATACTAAATTTTTTTTGAATAAAATTAGAAATTACAAAAAATTCGCATAAATGAGTCTGATGATCAGTAAATTAGATATTTTGCAAGAAAAATGAGATCATAAGAAAACACACCTTGATCAAGATTCACACTGCAATAAAAAAATCATACTGTAATAGATTTAATCAAAATCAATCACATTTGCAAACCAATCAAAAAATGGAAAAAAGAAAAAGAAAACAAGAAAATAATTTCAGAAATGAAAAATGCAAATTATATATTGGATGTAAATTCTTGATGAGATGGAAGGATTATTGCATTTATGATTGGCTCATGAATAAAATTAAATCAAATGCATTGAAGGTTGGGACTATTACCAAAATTTCTCATGATTTCTAATTTATAAGCATTTCTTCCAACACATCGTATTATCTTATATAGTACAACGTTCTTAGTAGATTATCTCTTAAATGTTCCTAAAAGCTTTAGAATTCCACATATATCATGTTTTCATCAATTGCAGACTTAAATAATCAAAATAAACATTCAATTTTATACGACTATTTCATCAAAATTAGACAAATATCTTATATAATATAAGGTAAACAAGGAAAATGCACAAATGCTAATATGCTTCATAATAGATTCTAATATATTAATTCCTAGAGGACAGATATAAAGAAAATTTGAAAACAAACAAACAACAAAATAATATATCTCAATATGGCAGACAATCTATTTACAGAAAACTAACTCAAATAACTTATATATTAAAAAAAAAACTTAAATATTATTCATGATGAATTATAAAATTTTAGATTTGACAATATAAATAGAATATTATATTTCTTTTTTTTTTTCTAAGTTAATTGTCATTAACAAATTCTTTAAACATATAGAATTAGCGATAAATTCGATAGATACTTCAACAAAAGTTGTTTTATCGGAATGCTCAATTAAATTATAAATTTTCAATTGGACCAAATTCAATCATGACTTACTCTTATATTGGCATAGTCTTGTTAAGCTTTAGAGGATATTCTTATGATTTTTCTTTAGGGATATTTAAAACCTAATAGTCGTAATATAATAATTATAAAAATTCTTGATATACAATGCTCTGTATTAAAGCACATTATATGTTTTTAGTGAATTTAGTAAGGAAACATGATATTAGACAATTATCTAAAGGCAAATAACATTTTAGCTGCAAGCCTTTCAATCTTACATAATATTCAAACACAATATAATAATACTGTTTATAATTCTTAAGACTATAAGGCAGTTCGTTTCCATATTAATTCGATGAAAAATATTTACTTTAAGTTCATGTCTCATATTAACTCAGAGATTTAAGAACAACACTTTGTTGATAATATTGAGCATGTCCTGCTAATTCATTTTTGCAAGTTCAACTTTTGGAAATAATACATATTATAACATCAAATTATTGATCTAATTTAAAATTTGTGTAAGTTTATACATTCCATCACCTATAAGAAATTAAGAATATAATTTTGAATTTTATGATAGTCATGCTGTAGTTATTTAGAACCATAACTTAATCTCATTTAATTTCCATCATACTATTATTTTGTCGATTGACCCAATTGTTATGTTCTACTTCTAGTTAATTTAAACAAGCAACTTTAAGCTCTATTACGAAATCTGATGTAGGACATCATAAAGTCTATAATTTCCTAATATAAATGAGTAAATCTAGAACAAAGATGTACAAAATCATGCACATGAAGTTAAACCTACAATCCACAAAAAATTTTGGAACAATAAAAAGCACATGACGATTAAAAAATACCAATGCAATAAAAAAACCAAGATTGTATGATCTTTTACCAAATTCAATCACACGGCATAAAAATAACTAAAACATAAAAAGAAAGTGATCACAAAAAAAGTCGCCAAATTATTAGTCTATGCCTCATGCTAGTTTAGTACTATGAGATGGCCTCCCTGTAATTTAATAGTCACTAGCACCACACTAGAAATATCCACAGCAAACCAGCACTCAAGCACAAAGAAGAAATAAAGAACTCAAAGAAACTATTATTGAAATCTAAGTTTACATACCTCAGCGAATACTGTTTATTATCTAAAGATATTAGTTACTAAAATTTCATGCATGTCAGACTCCTAACAAGTTTCTTCTAGCACTTTGTCTCCGTTTTCCATTTTCCCTATGCATAGATTTCGATCTTCACCTTCTAGGCAATCTATATTTTTGCAATGAGAATATAGTAATGAGAATGATGAAAAGAGGGATAGGTAATAAAAGACAAACCTTCATTTCATACTGCTGCTTCCTTCTACCATTTCATATAAGTGCTTCCTTGCGCCATTTCATACTAATGCCTTCCTAGTAAGTGAAGCCTATTTTGTTACACGTGCTATGTCGTCTGAATATATTCTATTATTGTTACCATTAGTCTCCTCTTTTTTTCTGTCAAATCATCAACACTAATTTCATCTACTAGCTTTACTAGAGTATCCATTTAGTTTTATTGTTGTATTAAACATGACCACATCATACAAGTTAAATTTTAATTATTTTATATTTAATAGAAGCTCCTCTCACTATCCCTCTAAAATAATCAGTTTTTATTTATTGCTCCTACATTTATCATGCATCCATCTTAATATTATCATCTCTATCACTCTCAACTTGAGCATCAATTACTTCTTTATCGCTCAACACTTAAATCCAAGCAGCATAACAGGTTTACTTGCAATTTTATAAAACTTAACATTTAAGTATAAATCATGTTTTCTCGTCGTATAGTACTCCTAAGGCAATTTTCCCTTAAGTCACTTAGAGCAACAATAGAAGTCAAATCCTCATTGTTTTATAATAGTAGAAGGATACATAAACTTAACACACCTTGCTATCACTTTATCCTTGAGTAATATTATTTGATAGTTACCAAATAAAATCCTGCCATATCATATACTTAATTTTTATTCTAATAATCTAAATACTTTCACCTTTCAAACAATTTCATCCTTGTTCTAGTTGTTCACTTATCTCAATAGGGTCTCACTCATTAAAATAATGTTCATGCACGAAGGTACCTCATTTTGAATACCACTATAAGCATCTCCATAACTGATATTAAAAAAATATGGATTGAAAATTGAGACTACTTGTAAAATCTAATAATGAAAAATACTTTATTGAACTAAAATGTTGGTAGTAAACAATAAAAAAGAAAACTAGATATGCGGATAAACCAAGCCATTACAGACTGGTCCATAAAATGGCACATTAGCTTAGTTTAAAAAGCTCAACAGCTAGATCATTTGTTTAATAAGATCAAGCTTGACAGCTAAAGATCATGCCTTCAAATTATATATTCTTACCACATAGGAGGAAAAAAATACCAATATGTACTAACGTACAGCTAATCATGCAAGAAGCTCTTCAAAGGCAGTAAACGACCAGAAAAAGGTTGTTTCAAACTATATCTAGTAATCAATTGAAATCATAAAAGCATATTACCTTGCAATGATGTTTCATTGCAATTATTAGCTCCACATGTATTGTATTTCAAATTATTTATAGAGAAAATATAAATAATTAATATTTTTAAAGAACAGGTAAATCAAAAAATTCATTCACATACATGGAAATATACTCCTATCAACATCGGCTCTCAATATTTAGTTGTACTAGATGACAAATGCCTTTATTTACAAAGTAACATCTCCTTACACTTCCAAATGTTAAAGGGGGGTGGGATGAACCTGGCAGGCATGGAGATGCTTCAATGTGAATATGACCTAGCTGGTTTCAAATGCTTGACAACATGCATGCACATTTGGGAGGAGTTCAACATCAAGAATGATGGAACTTCTCTCTCTCACTGTTCAAATGGCTTGCCAATAACATATATATGCCATTTCTTATTCATTTGAAGCAATGGATGCTTATAAATGGGAGCAAACTTTTTCAACTCTTCTAAGTTTTATTTTCAATTTATTTTTTCATGATTAAAGAAACAAAACGTGTCCCTGACATCAAATTTTATCACTAGTTTTAGAAACTATTCATAGCTCAGTAGCCTAAAAATAAATTGCAATACCACAAAAAGGAACAACGAGGTTCACCTTTTCAAATACGTTAATCCTCTTCAAGGCTAAAATTCTGTGAATTGTTATATGAATGGCCTTGTAAACAACACTGCTTGAACCGCACCCGATGGCTCCAAACACATGCATCTCACGGGAAGAACAACGATATGCTTGTTCACTATTGTCTATGTCATCTAAAATCCCACTTGTTCGCTTCTCCAAGCCGTGTTCAGAAAAGCTGTAAACTCCATAAGACTTGCTCAATAAATCGACAGCTCCTTCATTTGATACCTTCATTAAAAAAAATAATTAGGGAAATTTTTTTTATTTTTTGTATGAATTAGAGGAATTCTTTCCAATATAAATATGTGCATGCTTCATAAAGCATAATAAAACAAAAGGTTGACGCATATTAAGAGCCACATGTCATTGTGATATTCGGAAAACATGTTATGTGTTAGCTATTGTAAATGGTAAAACAATATTTTCTTTAAAAAGAGGCATTATTATATGTAACACATAACTCTTAATTTTTAACAAAACTAATATCCTTATGCCCTATTTTTCAAAATTTCACCCAAACATTGAAATTCACAAAGAAAATCCAACGCATTTTTTTTTTCATTTTTGACACATTCCCAATAGTTTAATTGTGACACATGCAAATACATGGGTTCGATAGTGCCAAAAAAAAAAAAAAAAACTTTGGTGTTAGTTTTATAAATAAGGATGATTTTGATATTATGCATGCAAATATCACTTAAAAAATAAGGGATAATAACACTAAGCCATAGGAAATGGATCCTTATATCTAACACCGAAAAGGAGGGATACAAGTAAAATGGTTGTGAATGGGAAGAAAATAGATATTTCATTTTTTTTTTAAAGATCGAAATCCATTTCATATTTTATTAGGTGTGCCATAGGCCAGTACATGTACAGGATGGGCACAAGGTCAATCATAAATATCAAATCAATATTGGATTTGATAAATTCATCATAGCTGCCCCCACTGAAATTGGTGCCTAAGACCTTTACATTAGAAACTAAGGGGCATGCTGCTTGAGCTAAAATTTTTAGTATACACACTTTCATTCATATTACCAATCAGAAACCTTTAGTAAACGAATATACATTGAGATCTTTCTTTAAAAAAAAATAAGATTAAAAAAGGAAGATACCACAAAAAAGAATTAGGGTTCATGACATCACTTATGATGAGCCCTATAATGTATTGTCCTTTCTTGACACTGTGAGAAAAAATTGCAAATTCCAATCAGATATATAAAGACCCATCCACCTGTCTTGGTGTAAAGAGATAGAAAACCCTCCATCGCGGTGTCTTATGATACCGACTATACCCATCTTTCTTGACGTGTTACGAAAGTCTAACACTTCAATAACACCCCATACGTGGGAAGACGACAGGAGATTGTTGGAATTTATAGTTAACTTGACTTGTACAAAATTTAAAAAGGGCAAAATAAAAGAAGATGATGGTTTGTACAAGCCACAAGATTGATAAAATGAATAAATGCAAATTGCAAAATAAAGATAATAAATGAAAATTAAAAAAATTGAAAATTATATAGCAAATGTTATTGATTCTAGAACATATGCACGCAAGCAAATAGAAGGCGAAGGGCGGCCTTTAAAAGTTTTGAAATGAAACATTACGTGTATTTTAGTGATTAAATTTCACAACCAGATAAACACACACATGCTGACAAAATACGGGCAAATCATTGAAAAAAAAAATTGTCCATGTATCCTCTAAACGTATAGTATGAATATACTAAAAACATGCTAGTACACTATACAAACTCACAGAAGAACATGTAAATGCATCACTCGACTTGCAAGCACACCAAAGATTGTGCAAGTATGCACATGATGTAAATGCACCATGAACATGCAAATATGTCATGAAAATGCATTAAAAAGCACGCTAAACACCTTCGTCAAATGAAATTAATTTACTCGCATGTGCTCCAATTAATATATCAAACTCCAAAATTTGAGGTTTAAGAATGGTGCGCGGGTTAAAAGTGAACCAAATCTCTCCCATTAAAAGTGACAACAACAACAACAACATCGAGCCTTTATCCCACTATGTGGGACGGCTACATGGATCCTTTTTTTCCATTGTATCCAGTTAAGAGTTAAATTCTCATTTAAATCTAATATAAAAATGTTATTTCTAATATTTCTAACCAAGTCTTTTTAGGTCCACATCTACCTTTCTTAACATAAGTCAAATCTAATGCATCTATTTTCCTAACCGATAAAAGTGAAATAGAGAGAAATATATAAAGAATTTTGTTATCTTTCCAATGAAGTTAAGATCATTAGGAAATAAAAAGTTATACTAAAAAATCAAGAATGTGTTAATTGACGGTATGAAATTATCCTTTTTTTAATAAATAAAAGAATAATGTTCTCAACATGTGAACAAATGACGTCCAATTTTATCTTGAATAAGTTCATTCACATCAACCCAATGATCTAAATGCAACACTGCAATCTGTTCCATGAAATAAGATCCTAATTAAAAACTTTACACAAATTATCTTTTTTAAATCATAAAAGAATAATCCCCTTAATGCGTGATCCAAGGACATTCGATCTTGTCTCGGATAGGATCGTTCAAATCGTCTTGATAATCTACATGTAAAGGTGCAATCTATTTTGCGAAGCAAGATCTCACTAAAAATTCATACATGTATGAAATTTGTATGATGAAAAATTTTCACATGCAATTCTACATAAGACTATAAGACTTTTATCAATTTGATATTTTTATGTCAAAACCCAAAAAGGGACAACCTAATCCTTCATCGAACCCTAAATTGTGGTTATCATAATTGAAGCCTTCAATTTTGGATATGTTTAAAACCACATGAAATTCCACACAAAACCTTTCATTATCAAATATAAAACAACAATGATTCTGATTCAAGAGTTGTGGAATATTTACTCTCTTCTTTGAAATCAGTTAAGTTGAAGTTCACTGTCAAAAAGCCTACACTCCCAAACCTTGATTCATATATCTTACCTACAGCTTGTAACCAAACATATATCCAAATTAATTCCAGGGCAAATTCATATTTAGGGTTTCCTATACACCGGAAGGTATTTTTTGTTCTAAACTAAAAAAGATTTACACTATCATTAAGTTTAGATCACTAGCATCCGGATTGGAACAAGTTTCCAGAAGCTCCCAATTCAATCTTGGACCAGTAATGCAATACAATCTGAAACTATGAAGCATGTAAATGATATACAATATAAGCACAATACATTATAGGGCTATAAAGAGTCTAGAAAAAATAGGATGCATAGCACAGAGATACATTATCAACAACTGAGTGTGGGGGAAAGGCATAAACACAATAAAATACATAAATTACCATCTATTTATAATAGGATAAATATGCATAATCAAGTAAAAATATCATGTGCATATATATTAAAAAGATAATTAGATAGCAAATGGATGGTAAGAGTTTGCAAGAATATATAAAGCCTAATAAATGATAAATTCTTCCAAATCGCATTTCATTATTTGAAACTTATTACTAATTTCGTTTAAAACTTATCAGTCAACACGCATGTCAAATATCAAATGTCTCTGTTTTTGCATATTCAACTTGGCAAGCCACATGGTGTATCCTTCTCGAATATTATAGATAATTAAAGCATAAAAAAATTATCCCGCCAGAAGCTTCCCTACTTTATGCATTTCAAAGTATTAAGTGAACTTAGTCTTCCTTGGAAACATGAATTCGAAAAACTTATTAGCAAGAGGTTTTGCACGATATATGTTTAATAAGGCATTCCATTCTGCAAAAACATCTTCATATTTTTTCCATTTTAAATAATATCTCAAACTTTATTAAATTCTTACCATGTATGAGTCATAAGGATCCATAGATAATCCCATGGAAGGTCCAATCTCTGCAGCAAATAAAGGCTGAAGTTTTTTCTTTAGTTCCTCTAACCCAGCCATCAGGAATTCTTGCAGACGAACTCCCAAAATCAAAGATAATATCAAAATCAATTGACCTTTCAGGAAAAACTACATTTGAATTCTGCAATCAAAGAGAGATAATTCAAAATTATATATGAGGATGAATAATTATTTATAAAATCATATTATTGATCAAAAAATATTAAAATTAAAAAAATAAATATATTGAGACATATAATGACTATAAGGAAGCTAAGGATTTAAATGAGGATAATAAGTAAAGCGAATGCTGCAACTTTTCATGATTTTTCTAATAAGCTATGTAATAAAAAAGAATTGGAGACATAAAATAGCTAAGGAAGAGAAATTAGATGTTGTCATCGAAAGAATTTAATCAAGTGTATTAAGGGTGTATAATAATATAAATTTAAAGAAGGTGACAAAGAAAAATACAAAATGTTATTTTAAAAAGTTATTAACATGATTATAAGCGAATCAATGCACTCAATAATTAGCTCAAAACTCTATTCAATTAATACTCCTTTAAATTAGTAATCAAACAAGTTCGAACATTTTTTTATATAAGTTTGGAGGTTTAATGAATAAAGCTTAAACACGATCCAAATTGTTTATTTAAATTCAAGTAGAACTTATTTGTTTTTAACAAATATCTTATTAAATGCTTGGAATTATACGATGATAGCTCGTCTAAAATTCAATTAATTTTTAATACAACTTTTTAATTACTTTTGTAATATTGATAAGTTATATGGTTATTTACTATGCTATGTTACTTACTACTAATATTTTCATCTTATGCTTATTATTCTACGCTTCCTTCACTTTCAATCTCCATACTCCGATTTCCCAAGGTAATGAGAGTTGTGTCATCATGAGTGCTTTGTTAGGATTATGTTGAGAATCCGAGTCTTTGGTGGTAAACACATTTCTCCTCAACCCACCCACAGTCAACGTGCCTGTGAGCATTGTCTATAAGTATTATGTCTTATACCTCAAAACATCTTCTCCAGCACACCTATTTAATAATCGAAGTGCAACTCATCTTCTTCTTCAGAGCCTATTCACAATCAATATGTTCTCTTAACCCATAATGCATCTTCTCCATCACGGCATCAGCCCAATCACAAACCCTAGTGTCTTCTTTAAGACTACTATTTAGGCATCTAATATGGATTTCAATCCTCAGTTCTTTTTAATACTATTATCTAGTTGTAAGTGGTGTTTCCTTAGTGTCAAATAGTTTGATACTAATTCTAAATTTATTGAACTAGTTATTCATTTAGGCCTATAAAATCATTTGTTAATATGACAACCAAATGGAATTCATTTAATACTTATTCATTCATAAGCTTGTTTATTAACTCATTTAAGTGCTAATCCAATTAGTTAGGTGAGCCAATTACAGGTCAAGCTCAATCATTAATAATTCTAAGCAAGCCAAATATGAAAACATATGTGAAAGCTCGACTTGAGCTCATGCTAAACTTGGAGAACTTATAGTATGATCAAGAAATGTTTGATCCATAGTATGTGCGACTCTTATTAAATAAGAATACTAAAGAAAATTTTATTTTGAAGACCAAAATAAATAGATTTATAAAGTATGGTAAGTTAGTTAGTAAAAGATTCATAAAAGTAAAGTTTTAGGCCTAAAAAATATATTGCTTACTTAACAATTATATTTGGGCAAAAATTTGAATCCAATTGAATCTTTAAGAAGATAAAAATTATTGGAAAAAGTAATTTGATGTCAAGATTTAAGAACAAAAAAATTAAGATTTTCATAATTATAGGGAAAAAAATTGAAAGACATAGCTAAGTTATGGGGGATGACAATAAAACAAAGGCTAAGAAAAATCACATTAATGTCAAAATGTAAATTTGATTTTATGCTAGTAATATCTAGTTTGATGTGATTTTAATGCAAGTTCATAGAAAGTATATATATAAATTAAAGGAAATTTATAATCTTGAAAAACATATGACTACAATTCCAAGTTTGGGCAAAAATTTGAATCCAAGTGAATCTTTAAGAAGATAAAAATTATTGGAAAAAGTAATTTGATGTCAAGATTTAAGAACAAAAAAATTAAGATTTTCATAATTATAGGGAAAAAAGAAAATTTGGTATGTATTAAAAGAAAATTTGTTTTTCAAAGGTAAGTTCAAGTTATTAATGACATGCATGATGGAGATCATTTGTTATATTTATGCATTCTCCCGACAATGGTTAAAGTCACTTCTTTAAAGGCTGCTAAATGCTGAAAACAGGTCCTTTAGGCCTACGCCATCTACTCCCTAGAAAGGAAACTAAAGATCAATTACAAATGTACTTTTCAACATAGCATTTATCAACATGTTCAGAGGTCGTTCTCTCTTCTCAATACCAAATTCTCAAATCCACCATAAAATCCTCTCCCAATGTATCACTTCTTCGGTCCTTGGACAATATTCATCTAGAATATAACTTGCTCCCATATAAAAGGTACAGAGACAATAACATAACATGGTCTACTACAGCAGTTTTTTCTCAACAACAGCAGATGGAAGCATTCAACTAGATCTAATATGTTCATTTCAAGAACGTAATCTCTGAAACAGCCTTTTACGATGTCACTAACTGCAAAAAAAAAACAAAAAGATATGATGCCAAAAAGTGAGCCATAGCTATTTCTTTATAAACATCAGAAACCAATGCATTACACTTTGTTTTCAACATCATAATATTTTGCATAAAAGACATTTTAAGAATCAGTGATCTATCTACCATTAACTTTCATACTTAGACCAGCTAAAAGACTAAAAATTCAGCAATTGTGAAAAATAGTAAAGCAAACAAAGTTTAAAATAATTTCCTCCAAAAATAAAGGTATTTGTATCCATATTCCTACAAAAACCTCTTCTTCAATCTTTTTTAAATAAAGAAAAGCAAGTCTCACAATAAAAATTCCTCCTATCAAACATCCTTAAGCTCAAACCCCAAATATCATCACTAAACATATCATATCCAAGCAGAAGCCTTCTTTCAAATTAAAGGCTCCAAGAAAAAACCTTTCTCGAAATCACTGCAATATTCATCGTACTCAGTTACAAAAAACCATGAGTTAAACTTTGGAGAAAATACTCCCACCCTATCCTTGCCAATTTCCAAACCACTCCCAACAAGATCCAGCGAACCCCGGCAAGAAAACCAAAATTCATGAAAGAAAACATTACCATCGAAAAAGAGGCACATGAATAAACGAACCACTCACCAGAAATTATACTTAGAACGAAAAATCAACAAGCCCACACGAAAAGTGGGATCAGGCAAATCAAGGACTTCTTCGAATGGTTTTCGAGGTTAGCAGAGAACAATTTCTAGCAGATCGGCGGAATACAAAAGAAACTGAGCTTTGAGAATACGAGTAGAGATAGAGCGATTAGATCGGACCATCCTGGGAAGACTCCTCCCCGGGCAAGTCAAATCTCAGACCGCCGCAATTCGACTGTTAGAAAGGCAAGAGAGATCTCAGTTGTAGCCGAGCTTATCAGAGTCTTGAAGGGGAGTAGAGGGCTCATTAATTTGCAAGTGTACGGTTACCAATGTAGGCCTATGTATCTATTTTAACTTGTTATGTTATTTCTTGGATAACGAAAAAATCAAGGTTCTAAAAATCAGACGTGACAACGAATCGGAAGAATGAGAGGTTCACGGTTCCATGGTTCAATCAGGATTAAATTGGGATCAAATGGGATGATATAATAAATACTAGTTTTATTAAATATTAAATAATTAAAGTAAATATGCACTCACCTCTCATTTATAAGATCTATCTAATCCATGTAATTTCTCTTTATGAAGATATAGCTTAAAATAAGATAGATAAATCAAATAATAATTGTCCAATGATAATTCTTGCACTAAATAATATTACATAATAATAGATTATATAAACTAATAATGGGTACAAAGAAAATTACTATTGTGAAATTCTTCTTCTTGCTAGCACCCTAGGTCAACAAGGACTTCCTAATCTAATAAGCTCAAAGCTACTTTTTATTAGAAATTTAATAATAGACAACGACTTCCTAAACTAATAACCAAATCTATATTTATTCTTACCTAATATGTTAGAATATAAGTTTAAGGAAATATATCATTATTTCTTGAGATTTAAAAAAAACAAATAACTAAATCATCCTAAGTCCTACCTGTTGTTGGAGAAAAATATTGCAATAACAAAACGAAAATTCTTAAAATGGATCAAAAAACGAAGAATATCGAGTTGGAATCATCCTAAGAATCAACAAGCAAGAATCCGATTCACTATAAAAAAAAAAAACTAAAAAATTAGGGTTCACAAAACTTTTGCAAACAACCATACAAACAATGGATTGCACAGTAAAATATAGTGAACATTTCACAAATAGTTTTGAAACTCAAAAGCTCAAGTTAATATATTAAGAAATTTAAATATTTTCGGGAAGAAATCTTACATTCCCGTAAGGAGACCAACGTTGTAGACGAGAATAGAGGGGTACGACACCAAAGACGATGAGTGCCTTCTGTGGTAAGAAGCCTTCGTCGGAGACGACGAGCTAGCGGTCAAGCTTCGAGTTCGGGAACGAGACGGGGGCAGGGACGGGGACGGGCACGGGACTGGTAGGGAAGTCGAAGGGGTTGTTCATTACCAAAGTTTAATCCTGTTGTCCATGAGTTTAAGGTTTCGTTTGGGACTTCTTTCTTACTGCTTTCTAAATAACATGTATATCATATCATTAATATTTAAAGATGATAATTAACATCGTAACATTAATACAATTAATAGCATGTACACAAACATTTGTTATGTTAATGATAAGATGTTTATTTTTCAAAAATTAAGTAATTGTCTTTTGAATTAGAACTATATCATCTGAAATAATCATAAAACAACGCATTTGATTTTGAAAATTCTTCTGAAGTATCTCTATAACACAAACAAAACATGTGGACATAGCATTGAACCTTAATCACGTATAAACATAAATAATTACAAAAAAAAACATGCAGAGAAGGAATGGCATTTGATTCAGGGTAACTCTGTATGAAATAGACGGAGACAAAGCAGAACTCTGTATGATTTATGTATGTTGTGTATATACCTTTTTTAAAACAAAGTCACAACATTTATCATTGAAGCTTGGATTATGTCAAGGGTGATGTGATCATATCCCAAAGAGTTGGAGGTTCTTTGCCTTCTAGGCCAAGTTAATGATGATACAAATGCCAACCCGAGTCCTAAAACTTGAAACCTATGTTTTCACTAATTTTTATCCTTGATTTCCATCAAGATTTTCATAAACAAAATTTCATTGATGCAATAAGTCTCAAGATTACAGCCACATTTTTTTACTCATAACCATCAAAGCTGGCAAGTACAATTTTCCTTCAACCCTAAAATTAAATTAAGGTTTCATTAAATTGTTAGATCTCAAGTACAGCCAAACAGAAATAATAGGTCAAACTAACCAACATAGACCATTAACAGCAGTACTTAAGTAAACTTCAATTGTAAATAATCAAAATCTACGTATGTTTTTTTGTGTCCAATTACTTACCATAACAATGGTCGCAATCTGAAATAGAATTTAACACATTAAAAAAAAAAAAAGAACACAAGGTAAAACCATTGGAAAGAAGATCAAGCAAGCATTGCCTGAAAATAAAACCCGCATTAAACAGTTAAAGAGCTTTAAAACAGTGAGTATTAGAAATTTCAACAAGGTATATAGCCCATTAAGAACAATAAAGCAGAAAATAGTTTCAGGAATGAATAGAGGAGGATAATTAAAGCCAACACAAATTAATTGAAATAATTGTAATGTTGATTAAGATGATTACTGAAGTAAATAGTTCAATTTGAAATAAGAGTAGGAATACACAATTTGAGTATGTGCACTCAAAGCTAAAAGCATATAGCAAAACAATAATGAGCAAATAAGTAAAAAATCATCAAAAGAAGATTACCATCAGATATTTTCTTGTGCACAAACAAAATGCTTATACGATGGGGCATATTATAAGCGACATCTAAGGGTGGACAGCAAAACAAGTTAAACTAATAGAAAGGGAGGTAAAAATACCTTATTTTGTGTTCGGTTCAGCCTAAATAGATGTTTTAGTGAACGCTAAACTATTTTTTGTGCATGCCATTCACAAAATTCTCGTAAATTAATGGGTTTTTTTTTTTATTTGCAGAAATTTAGCAAAGATGCTGGCGAGAGATGCGATGAGAAATTGAATGATAATGCAGATTTCATCATTATATTATCTTCCACCTAGCAAAGATCGAACAAAGCTGTGCAAACAGTGAAGACAGAAAAGGCCGTGATATTATCAAACAAATGCTCAAAAGGATAATAATTGTAACATCGAAAAAACTTCCTCAAGAGAGGATGAAAATCAATTTTGTTTCAGATTTTAACAAGAAAATTTCAGATTACCCTTTCCGATGCATGATTTAAAATAATGCAAAAATAAAATTCAAGAATGAGAGGAGGAGGAGAAGATTGGGAGAAAAAAAAAAGTAAAGGAATGAAGAAGAAGATGATGAAGAGGATGTAGAAGAAGTTACCAAAAGATAAGAAGGTTGCCGGCTTCGGCTAGGGCAGAGGAAGTGAGGGATCCGGCGAGGGCTGTTGTCCACGCGAGCGAGGGGATACGAAGTGTTCGCCCGGTGTTAGATACCTGGCTGCCGCCGCCAATGGAGGCCGCGAAACAAGGGTTCGCCTCCTGTGCTCGTGTGATTAGAGGGGAGCTGGGAGAGAAGGCTTCGGGCGAATCAATCCTGCGTGGGAAGATCGGAGAAGAAGGGATTATAAGCTCAGATTCCCCGAAACAAATCGCGCAATTTAAGCTGGTTTCGATCTCGCACGAACCGCTTAACATTAACCGAACGACTTAATTTAAGAAAGGCATGCAATTAATTTAGTTTATCCTCTTAATTCTGTATACCAAACAGGCCTTTAATAAGAACAATTATTAGGTCCGGTGACCGGAAGCAACTCTACGTTCCGTCATCACTGAGTTACCCAGTATTTGTTCGGTATTTACTCGATATTGTTAGGTATTGCTTGGCAATAACAAGAAATATTGCTCTGTGAAGACCAATACCGAGTAATGCCGAGCAATACCAATACCGAATTTTTCTAGAAAAAACTCGGTATTGCTCGGTGTTCCTCGGTATTACTCGGCATTGCTCAGTATTTGTCTTCACATAATGATATTTCTCGTTATTGCTAAGCAAATTCAAAATTCGACAAATATGTAATTTTGTGCCTTGCTATTGTGCGAAGATTTAAGTCGGCCGGACGTAGCTCTACGTCCTTCACCGGAACCAAATAAAGCCTCCTTTAATAAACTCTAAGTTGTTAAAATCTGACAAACTTTTTTGTATGATATATATTAAATTTTGTTAAATTCTGAGAAATTATTTTTCAATAAATATTTAGATTTAAGGACTGTTTAGAGATTTTAAAGATGACAATTAGTTCACTTAAATTATTTTTCTAATTATTAATTATATTCATCAATTTATTATAAATTCTACTACTAATTAATTATTTATAATATTAAGTAGATAATAATTCTTTGTATTTTAATAAATATTTCCATTAAATTAACTTAGTGTATTTATTATATTATTAATAATGAATTACTATTTATTATTTATCAATTAATATTATGCTAAATTGTACTTAAAAAAAAGCTACAGTTAGGATTAATTTCAGATAAAGCCCAGGTAGGTTGGGTTTTATTTTTCATCTCTTCTCATTAAACTATGTAATGACTTAACGCTGCTATAATTTAATTAAACTAATGAGTTTAATTTACTTAATTTAAATTAATCTAATAATCTGAACTAATATTATGTTTAAAACTTTATAATTAGTAGTGTCTACGTTTACAGATTATTTTATAATCTAAGGTTTGCCTACCTCCTTTCTCCTCGTCGCCCCTTTCTTCATGCTTGGTTCAGTCCGCGGTGTTGTGCGTGCTTAGAACGATGGGAGCTAATTCCAAAATGGAAGCAATGGAGAAGAACGAGTGGTAGTTTTGAAAATTAAGCTAAATAACTTTTTCCTCGACAACATTCCTTCATATCGGATCTGGAACCACACCTCCTCGCCAATTCTCTATTGAATCGGAAGTAAACAATGAGACAATGGAACTTGCTCTTGCTGTGCCAAGGTTAATCTCTTCT